ACATTTTTTTAATACAACATATAACAAATAGAAATATTTCATTCTTAACAAATTTAACCAAATAAAATTATTCATATACATCATTCATCATTTAATCATACATATTCTATTTCTTATTTAATCAAACAAAATTCATTCATGCATATTATTCCACGCTTAACTAGACATCATTATCGAATTCATAACTACGTGTCACTTTATCTATTTTAAGTCTGAACATCTTATCATTTAACAACACTGTAGGTATCCTTGAGCCCCTAAATCGTTGTCAACGCACTCTCCTTAGTTACAAAGGACTAATGTAGCAAGGATAGTCGTTGATCAGTTAAATTACACATGGATACAACGTGTGCATTTACAACCTTTCAATCAAAGGTATAGTTAGGAGTTTGGTTATAAAATGAGTGTGAAGCCTGTAAATACATCCCATTTTTACATCATGTACATATTAGTGAACCACATTTATCACTCTCATTTTCCCCAGATTTCTACAATCAACTTCAAACCCTATAACCTCAGTGTATCCTTAAACTATTCATACAGTATCTCAACAATGACATATCAAATCATGTTGTTCTAATACATGTGTTACAATCACACTAATCAATGTGCTACAACATATATGTTATAATCTTACCTGTCAATGTATCATAGCACATATATCATAATTGCATCATCGGTGTTTTTGTGACATATATATTAGTTACTCCCTTTTACTTACATTTTCTCAACACTTTTATATATTCACATCAATCTCATACATCAATATTCACTATTACATTTTTCCATCATTTCTTTCTCATCATTTTTATTAAGTAAAACATATATAATATTTCATACATACATTTATGAGGAAATACATTTCTTCATTTTAGCACACATTCATAAAACAATAACATATTTTTATACAAAACAACACAATATGCCGAGGTTCAAACACCCTTGGAGTCAGCCCAAATTGTACGATCCAAGAATATATTGCTGGAGATCACATTCTCTAGGTCTTAATAAAGTTCTCTAGCCTAAAGTTTAGCATTTTCAAAATTTTCACCATTCAACACATATATTATTTTAAAAGATAGTAGCTTATCCATAAAATTGCTTAAACTCATTCTTACTCATAACCTTTTATGGTAAACTTTGTCTCAAATAATTTTAAACCTATCAAAAACCTTTTTTCAAGAAAAATTTATGGATTTGTTATTTAGAATAAGGTAGCCCTATTCTTTCAAGATCAATATACATATTTAGATAGAATCTAGGGTTCAAGAGTGACTCCTTTTACTTAGAAATGGATCTCAAGAGCTAAGTTCTTCATGGGTTCTAGGAAGAAACTACATGTCTTAACCAGAAACATTACCTAAGAACAAGAGTTCTTCCTAACATCATAGGGTAAATTACTATTATGGGAAGAAAGAAAATAGAAATAGGAACTAGATTCGAAAGCTAAGTTCTGAAAACTTACTTAGATCTAAGTGGAATAGACTTTTAAGCTCAAATTTGAGAGATTTAGAGTTATTGGAGGCTTTCTCTAGGAAGGGAGAGGAAGAGAACAAAAAGGGAGAGGTGGTTTTGGTGAGAAATAAAATCTCTCAATGCGAAAACTCTTAAATACCCTTCAAACTCGCGCGTTCTCGCTTGAAGTAGCGGGCTCTCGCTTGAGGTAGCACATTCTCACTTAAGCAAGAAAACCAGATAATGATTTTTTTGATATTCTTACTTGAGCGAGAATGGGTCTAGAGAACTCCCTATTTTTCTTACAACTCCTCGCTTGGATGAGCTACTTCTCACTTGAGCGAGACCTCTTCTTGCCTAGGTGAAAGGACAGTTAGGGCGATATTATCCTCTCTCGCTAAACGAGATTTATCTCGCTTGAGCGAGAATATTCTAGAAAGCCTAATTTAAAAATATCTGTCTTGCTTGAGCAAGAAGTTTTACATTAAAAATCCTATTTTTTCCAAAAAGTCCATGTAAGTTCTGCATTTAATGGACAATATATTGCTAGCAATGACGTTGTCATAATCAATGTTTTGAAAGCTTTTCTTGATCATCAATTTAAAATGAAAAAGCTCAACAACCTTATTCTTTTTCTCAAAATAGACGTAACTTGATTTCTTCATAGACTTTCAATCACTATGTCATTTTACATCTTTTGAAGTGATCACTTACAAAGTAAAATAATATAATCACTTTCTAAAGTTACTTTTGGAGAGCAGTTATATCCAATTTCTCTCACAACTTAAAATTTTAAGAAACTCTAGTAACTTCTAACCTATAAACACATGTAAGGATGGAGTGCCGCTCAACTCACAATAGCATAATGAATCTTTTCTTCTTTGCTTCTTTGTCTTCTCTACACTAACAAAATTGGTTTCTTCTATAATTATAGGTACCTTTATCATGCTTCTCTCTATTATCTCTTTTTTTCTCTATTAATATTAAAATATCTTATTGTCAATGTTTCATTCATTTAGATGTGGACTATTTGGTCAACATAATATACAAACATAAATTTCAACAAGACAAAGAATTGGTTTTGGTTTGTGATAAAAAAAAAAACTTACAAAAGAAAAAATTTTGAATTTTAGACATACAAACTAAAATTTAAATGTAATAATAAATTATTTTTATTTTATAATTGACAACTTATAAAGGAAGAAATTTCAAATTTTATATTCACAGTTCATACAACTTTCCAAGTGACACTTAGAGAACCACTTTCTAAGTCCATCAATTTTAGATAGTAATGCTTATTAGAGCAATTTGAATTACTTTCTAAAATGATGCAGAACTGCTCTCTAATATCTTTTTTGTTGTAGTGAATATACCAAAAGAAATATCCTTTCAAATTGCTTATCATATTTGCTTGCATTTAAGCTTAAACAAACGCCAAAGGAAAACTATGGTTCCTTGCTCCTAGTATAGAGCATAATATCATGCAATGGTCACTATAGCTTGTGAGTTAGATTAGCTTATCACTTTCATCCTTCATGACTTGAGAATATCTTCTGTCTAACTTATCATCAACAATTGTTATAACAAGTTTGCTATACACATTGTCATCAATCCCCTTCATTCCATAAACAAATCAACCATATCAACTTGAATTGCTACTTCATTAATTGGCATTCTCCATGTATCACTAGTATCAAGTTACCACAAGTGGCTCACTTATCTCACTAAGTTGAGCATGTTCGACCTATGCCTACACATTGGAAAGGGGGAATTACCATATGCAAATAAGGATGCAAACGCCATGTGAAAACCATGCATGCAATGGTGCAACTAACCTTTTTGCTTATAATTACGACCCAACGGTTTCAATCTTTTTGTATTTCACAGTTATGTAATTTAGTTACACAAGATTGTAGATTTGATGAACATAAATAAGGACCTATCACTAACTATTAATAGATAAGTAGTAATATATCCTTCTTCCACTTTGTTATTAGGTGATGTGATTGCACTTATAATTTATTTTAGAAAAACTTACTCTTTTAACTATTCTTTTAAAATTTTATAATGATAACAATGTTAATAATAAAACTTAGGATTTGTTTTGATGTTTGAAAAAGGATTGAAGGAAAGGGTTTGAAGAGAGAAAGAATGGTTAAACATCTCCCTTATTGGTATGTTTAATATTAAGAGAAAATAGTGATAGGGTTTTATCATATAAAATAAATTATTGTCTTTTATTTCTTTTATTCATATTTTTTTATCTTTTTTATTTTTCAAAAATAAATAAATAATTTTCTTTCTCTAAAAATTAATTATTTATTTTTTTATATTTTTTTTAAAAAAAATCTCACTTTAAAACTAACATATTTAAAAATAATAATTATATTCCTAATCATAAAAGAGTATGAGAGGGTAGGAGAGAGAAAAATTCCTTAAAATGAGAGAATTCAAAGAACTAACATTAAGAGAAGTTTGAAGTTTAGAAACACTCTTTAACTCTTCTTTTAATTAACTTTTAAACAAGAGTTAAATTTCACTAACCCATCCCTTCCTCTTCGCTTCCCTCTTAAACATGAAATTCAAACATAACCTTGATATATCTATAGTCTATATAAATATGACTAAATATGGATGGTTGCAATCTACCGAATACTTTATTGTTTATTCTTTTTCATAAATTGTGAAAATTTTGAAAAAGAAGTCCTTATTATTACCATTTTAAAAAAGCATATCAAGTTATGGTGACATGTGACATCTCCATATGTATATGTTGTACCATCACTGAATAATAATAATTTTTATTCTAAGTTTTAAAATTTTTGAAGATTAAAATCAATTAAAAAAAATTTAGAGGGTTAAAATCAAAGTTAGTCATATTTATAAAGATTAAACACATTAGTTGGTTATTTTGTTTTCATAAAATGGATTAAATGGGATAGGTTGACATTTTTTTTCTGTGAGGCCGTATAATTTTTTATGATCCATGTTGGTCTTTGGAAACATCATGCATCCATATATTTCCAATTAATAAGTTTTCTGAAATTTTGTATAATTCCTAATGAACTTAATTTTCATAATAGATGGATATTAAATTACATGTATTATATAAAAAGGACAAAATTCCACTTATCTCCACATGGTCTAACTATTCATGATTCCATCGAAGTGGAAGTTGTGATAGTGGGAGAAGAATACCAGTAAAAGACTCTTCTCGTGGCATGTACATTTGAGCATATAATTTAAAGAGAGGTCTCTTTTTAAAAGAATAGCTTTAAGAGATACATAATTTAATTTATTTTAAAATTGAGAGTTATACATTCTAATATAAATCAAATTGAATTTGTTTAAAAAATAAGCTATCCCCTTCACATTATTGCATTCCACAATTTTAAAGTTAAGAAAGTAACAAGATATGACAATGGACAAGACAATATTGCAGAAGTGTCTTTCTATATATAGCCTAATTTCAAACATACAATAAAAAGATATAGAGCCCTCAGTATTATATAGCAGCAGCTTTTCAGCAACAAAACTTGAATAAGATTGAAATTTAATTTCATATCGGAAACTACCAACCTTTCTAAATCAATATCGTAAAATATGGCATGAAAATAGAAAACTCAAAACAAGCACCAAATCTAGACCATTGGCTTTCTCAACCATGCTAATGTCCACCTCCGGTTTGGTGCAGCATAGCATCTATCTCATCACCATCCTCCATCTCTAACTGCACAAAATTGCATTTTCTCAGAATTAACTAACAGCAGAACAAATAAGAACCAATTCTATACGAGACAAGCTGATCTGCAAGTACATATTCTAGAAAAACAAATGTTTAGCATATATGTATATGGATACTGTGGTATATATTAATGGGTTTGACAAGGTCATTCAAAAGGTTTTCTTATATAAGAGGATTCTGCAAAGCTATAGACCTTTGATAACAAGATTATATTTTGTAAAAATTGAAAATAAAACTTGAGATTGTACAAGGAGAAATGACCCTTGAAAAACTTCGCATTGAATCTTGACCAAACCATATTTACCTCATCAGGGGTCTGTTCATCCCGGAGTCTCCTTCCATCAAACAAGAAAGCAATCGAATTAAAGTCTACAGATTGCCGATCACAGTATGCATTCATGAGTTTCTTGAGCTGAGTGCTTCTTTTTATCCTAAAGAAAATCTCATTACCATCCTACAAGAAAGTCAGCCTCAGAAGGAAGTAAAGATTGTAAAGACTTCACCCAAAAACTAAATTTTTATTAAGATAATGGGTAAAGACTGGAAACAACATGTAATAGTTTCTTAATAAGCCAGAAAAGATAGGAAGAAAACCAAGGCAGAGGCAGGAACATTGTACAATTAATGTTTAAGGAACAGAACTATAATATTACATTATGAAAACTTAATATGACAAATAGTTGTTCTAGATCATTCAAGTTTCAATTCAATATCCACATATCCATCAGTTTTTCTATACATGAAGAGAGTTTCATCAAAAGGTAGAACTATCATTGCTTTTGGAAGACAAAGTATGAGATGTCAACTCTTTTGTTCAGAGCAGAACTGCACATTAAAGGATGAATTCTCATAACAGTTTATACAAAAGTTTTATTAATGTAAGTTAAAAATAGTTTATTTCAATAAATTAAAAAATGTATTTCTTTTGTCTATAACACACATATCTTCCACTGAAGGTAATTTTATTAGTGTTGGGTAGAATTAATATGAGTGGCAAGATTTTTAACTCAAAACCATAAATTAAGGTGAAATAACCTATGTTAGGTGGTATTGGAAAAGTTTATTTTGATAAAATTATTTGAATAAATTTATTAAAATGTCTTAAAATTATATACAAAACGAAGTTATTTCATAAGATGTTTTGTAAACTCTTCCAAAATTCAAAGTAACGAAATCCATGCCCACCTCTTTCTCTTCGCTCCCTCACACGTAAAGGAAGCATTGTAAAACATATATCAAGAAAATTAAAACCTGAACAAAGACAAGACAAACAACACACACACTCAACCAAGAACATGATTTTCTTTCATTTTGGAACAAGCATAGAATACAAATAAGAAGAAAAGTTGAAGATATAATAGAGACCTGGCCCTTGACTTTGAGATTAATGTGTCCACCTTGATCAGCAGGCTTTTTCTCCTCCTCTTGGCTTCCTCTACCTCCTGATGCAGACATCTTCACGTCCTTGCTTCTATTTTTCTGCTGCCAACATCTCTACTTCTCCTCAGTATATATACTGTGAGATTACGGTCCCTCCTAACAAACAAAACATGGGTTAATGCGTTATATTCACGCCATATATATAGATATTATATATGTATAGATACGTTGTTGTCCATCACACTCGCCACCTACCTAGTCTTTGGTTCTCTAATTTATACTTTTTTTCATATCTAGAATTATTTATATAATAAGTTCTCTTAATAATTTAAAGCAACTCAGTGAATCAATGAAATTTTTATTAAAATGCTTGATGCATTTCTTTTGTTTCGCCCCCCTCTCTCAGCTTTTGAGGTGTTAGAACTAGAGCATAAATATGAAAAATTGACTTGAGACCAATCCTCAAATTAAATAAAAATGTATGAATATCTTCTGACGATAAAAAATATCAATTAAAATAGTTCACGTATTATTACTTGGATTGAAAATTTAATAATGAAAATATAAATTATATAAACCGTATCTTTAACATTATTTGATAATACAAATATGAATTATTTTTATGTATACATGATGCTTTTTATTGTAAGAAATTTATCGTTTGTTATATAAATGTTGTAAAGTTAAAAATATTTAATATGAATATTATAATTATATGTATATATATCAACAAATTAAAAATACAGATTAGGAATACCTTGTTTAAAAAATTTAATAGGAAATAGACAAACTTTATTTTAAATAAATCAATTTATAAAAAATACAACTAATGACTTAACTATAATATATTTTCTAATGAAGAGTAACTAATTAGAATATTATGAAAAAATTATTAAAAGAAAAACAGCTCAAATATATCAAAATTTACTTTTTAAATTCTACGTACAAAAACTGCTTTACAAATTAACAGTTAGTCTTACTTATTAATTCAAAATATTTTTTAAATTTATTTTCGTTTACACTTAAAAATAATTATTTTTGAAAAAAGTAATATCAATTATTTAAAATAATTTAATATAACACCAATCAAAGAGGATAATTTACAGCTTTATAAGAATGTTAGAAACATATTATTTAATATACATTTTTGAATAATATTTTATTATTATTAAAAATATAAAAATATGAATAAAAAACATTTGTTGGTGGGTGTGGAGAAGCAAGAGGAGGGTAACAACATAGTTGGATTCCATATATTTAATAGCCGTTCACAAATTGCGGTTAGAAACGAATGGAATGGAATCTAACGGTGCAAAATTACGTAAGTGCGGGAAGTCACTTTCTTTGCATTTCTAAAACATGAAAGTTCAACGTGGACCGTTATAAGGACTTTTCTTAGGGATTAGATTCTTTCTTATCTAACAAGGACTATCGAGAAAATTTTAACTATTCACCCTTTATTTTTATTATTTTTAAGCCCTTTGAGTTGAGATCCGAATTGTTATTTACAAGATGATTCTTTTCATGCTTTTAAATTTTTTTTATAAAAAAAGTACAAAATGAGAAAGGTTGGAACATTTTATTTTGGAAATAAAAAATAAAATACCATGTGAAATTGTGAAGAAGAAAATGTAAAGCTCTACACATTATATTTTCACGTTTTAAGATGTGAATGCTTTATTAAGGTTGTAGAATGTACGATCTAAAGAAGAGTTAAATTGTCGAAGAAATTATGTACGTTTCTTTTAGTGAAACGAATAATTTTCTTGTGAAAAGAAGAAGTTTAGAGCTAGAGGATGAACTTGAAAACCTATAGATTAGCAACAAAATGAAAGAAATTTTACTTTATATAACTTATTGTTTATTTTATATTATTTTTCATTTTATTTTTGCAATGTATTCTATATTTACCGTATGACTATTATTTTTTATATTAATATTATTAAAATTTTGTTTAAATTTTTTAAGGTTTTAACTTTTAGGGGTATTTATACATTTCAAAATAGAATAATTAGGATAAACATAAACTGAAAAAAAATTAAAGTAATTGCATTTATTGAAAATATGCATAAAACTATTATATAAATATAACTATAACTATTTTGGTTACAATGGGTTTCATTTAGTTATTTATGTTTAAAATTAAAGTAATTGCATTTAGTCATTTACCTCGTCAAAATAAAGGTGCATTTTTCTTTGTTCCATCCGAATTATTATTATTATTTGCCCTCAGTTTGGTGAATGACTAACTAATAATCAAGAAGAGTAATGAAAAATAATATTTGATATTATATGTGTACATGCATAATTAATCATAAATTTGTTAAAATATATATTATTTATATTTTTCAGTAAATTTTTAAACTAGGCTTTGTTATTTGGTGTGTAACTGTAAATCCAAATGAATAGTATCCTTCTAAAAGTCTCGGTATTTAAAATACTATTCGTATCAAATCAAGTTATTCAAAATTTAATGATAAGTTCGAGTTTCTTTTCTTTTTAAGTAGAAGAAACAGCTAAAGAATAAGAATCAAATACGAAAATTTAAACCAAAGAAAAATTACTTAACGTGTTTATAAACACAAAAATAATGATAAGTATGGAAAGAATATGATGATCAGTATGGACTATGGAAAAAAATACAAACAAACGTTTTAAAATTAAATTAATGAAAAATTATTTTGAAATATAAAAATAATGATAAGTATGAAAATAATATACACAAAACATACGAATGTACAACTGTTAATTTCATTTAATAGAATTTGAAATTTTTAATAAAAGTCAAACATAAATTTTGTCACTAAATTATGTTAAGTTATTTAGTGACTAAATTAACGATTATATCATATTTTAGTTTTATAATTAAAAAATTAATTGCTAATTTGATTGCTAAATATTTCTAAATAAATTTATACAATTTAGCAATTGAATTAACAATTAAATTTATAATAAACAAATTGATCGTTAATTTGGTCACTAAATATTTTTTATTTTTTAATTATTATAATAACTACCAATCATTAATTTAGTTGTAATTAAAAATAATTATCTCTGCTCAAAAATAGAGTAAAGAGGATTAGTGGAAAATGATAGAATATATGGATTCACATGTAAACACAGACTAGAGAGACGGCTCTAGATATTAAAGTTTAGAGGGGAGGTACGTGGTATGTAGTATAACAAGGAAGGGCCTTTCATAAGACACAAGAGTAACGTGAAAATAAACCAACTCAAAGGAACGAACAAGACATTCACATGCTTATGAGCCACAACTTCCCTGCTCCTTTAATTCAAAGATCTGTTTTTCTTTGACACGGAAATGTTGTTCAGAGTATATAGCATGTTCAAGCAGCACTGGATTTATCTTTGTTTTTACCCAACTTCAATTTTAATAAAGTTAAATATTCAAACTCGAACCTACTTATTATTATTATTATTATTATGTGATAAAAATTAATTGACTTAATTTGTTTCCATAGTATATAATAATTCTTAACGTTAACTAAATCGTTAAATTAAAATTAAGGTATACATTCTAAAATATTGCCTATTCAATTCAAAGCTTTACTATTGATAATTGTGTTGAGTTATAACAATTTGAAATATAATTTAAATTCATTCTCAAAATATATATGCTAAATCTCTTTCTCTTTGCATGCCAAAATTAACTTTAGACTAAATCTAATTAATTAGAGAGACGAGATACATCATAAATACTCCTATTACATTCAGTGTCTGTTCAATTTAAAATTGAAAAAAATTATTAAGTACTTTTAAGATGGGTAAATTAATTTAGACCACGTATTTTTATAAAATTAGTATTTTACATTAAAAAATGACGAGAACCAACTGTTCAAACTATGAAACAAATAAGCCTCGTTCTCCTTGTGATGCAATATATATAATCCATAATCATTGCTAGCTAATACAATTACAACGACCACAACTAAAGGGCCACACAAAGAGCGGTGTACTTTGTTCGACATAATGGCTCCTCTGCACAAGCAACAAAAGTGCGTACGCATATATCTAAGTATCTTATTTAGTTATAGCATATATACTACATAGTACGAAGAACCTTTCTGTCTATAAATTCTATTTGCTTTTATGGTAATTTATGAACCGATAAACTGTTCTGTGCAGATTCTTCTTTGTCCCCCTCTTTATGGCACTGAACATAATATATGTGAGCAAAGCTGTTGATGTTAGTTTCCAACAGAACTACAAGGTTGTATGGGGAAAGCATCACGTCTTCTTTCTAGACCATGGAAGAGAAGTTCAACTCTTAATTGATAGAGCTTCAGGTTTGTATGTAGAGGACCTATGATTTCATTAAAATAGTGCGTGTTGGATTAGAGAAAATAAGAGTTTTAATTCGTGCGCTCTAATGATGTAAAGTATATGCATGCATGCCATTTGTTCATACAGGCTTCTCATTTTGATGATCGTTTATATAACTGTCCAGTGTCCATAGCTGTAGATTTCGTAGGAATCATATCTTAAACCCTCTTATGATCAGAACGAGTGAGTTTTCATTAATCATCCATATAATAGGGTTTACTTATCAAATACATATATGTATTAAGTAGTATCTTATACCATATATGAAGACATAGTGATATTGTTTGATTTTCAAATTTAATAATTTTTCTTTAACATGCAGGTGCTGGCTTCAGATCGAAATTGGACTACGCTTCTGGGTTCTTTCAAATGAAAATAAAGATACCGAACAAGGATTCAAGAGGAGTTGTGACAGCTTTTTATGTGAGAAATTTACCATTTTCAGAATGAGTTCTTGAGGCTACTCTTCCTTGTCCTTTCCCTGATCAGCTAATTAAGAAAGTTTCTTTTTCTCATGCGAGTTGTAGCTGACTTCAACGGTCTACAAACATTTGGGAGCAAAACATGATGAGATAGACTTTGAATTCTTGGTGGGCAACAATAGAGAGCCTTATGTGTTGCAAACAAATGTTTTTGCAAATGATGAAGGAGGAAGAGAACAAAGACTTAGTCTCTGGTTTGATCCAACAATCGATTTTCATACATATGGAATCCTTTGGAACCAACATCAAATAGTGTAAGACTGCATTTCCCCTTTTCCCGCGCCCCCTCTCTTCATTAACCAAAAGCGCGAGTTCTTTTATTTTAACTTTTTCTTTTTTTTAAGTAAACACATTAATTTAACTATTTTTTAAATAAACAATATCTTTTTAAACTGTAATAAACTCTCCCAAAAATGTCATTTGTTAACAGATAACTATTGTCAAGTGTCAGGATAATATTTGTTAGTATAATTTTTGTGTTTGACAAATAAACTGACAATATAGACTTGAAAGATTTATATTAACAAATAATAAATTACACTAAAATTTAATATATTAATAATATATATATATATATCGTACAAAATAAATATTTTTTAGTATAATATTTCGTATTGTTTGTATAAAAATACGATGTTTATATTAATGGTTTAATTTTCGTATAAAAAATTATACAAAAGATAGATAACTAATTTAAATCATTAGTAAATGATAATTATTCTATAATATAAATAAAAAATAACTTGTATTTTTTTTCCAAAAATTATAAAAAAAAAAATTAGATGATCTTGAAATATTTTTCTGATGACTTAGAAAAACTAGCCATATATTTCAAGAGAAGAACAGAGAATCAAATGTCTCAATAATTAATAGTTATATGAACTAGCCCAAATGTCTATCTAAGAAACAAAAAATTAGTTATCATATGTCCATATTATTAAATAAATGAAGTAAAATATGAAGGTCTAAGTATACACAAATTGATGAAAAATTAAACATAATAAACCCTCCATCACTTCATTTTAATTTATTGGTACTTAAATATTTTTCAGGTTTTACGTGGACGAAACGCCGATTAGAGTATTCAAGAACAATTCGAAGATGGGAGTGAGTTTTCCTTCACGAGAAATGCACATTACGGGTAGCATATGGAATGGAGAACCTTGGGCTTCTAATGGGAAGAGAATAGAGTGGAAGAAAGCACCCTTCAGGGCTCACTTTCAAGGTTTCAACGTTCATGGCTGCCAATCCCATAAACCCAACAGATATTTCTGCTATTCTCCTCATTTATGGTGGAATGACCAGAAACATTGGAAACTCAATCCACAACAACAAAGAGCATACGAAATTGTCAGGAACAAACATTTGTTATATGACTACTGTTCTGACAGAGGACAACTGCATAAAGAATGTCATGTCATCTGACTGATAAATAATTAAATAAATAAAATGATACATATCCTGAATGTATCAAATTAAGACAGGAATAGAGCAAGTTTATCTCATTTGAAATTTTAGTTATATAGGTATGAACCATGCAAGTACAAAATTAATGTATTATTATAAACAAAATATAAAATATATGTAATAAATGATTTGATTTAATATTCGATCTTCATGTTGCTTGCTTGCAAAATAAGTTGTGTAATTGAAGTTTTTATTTTGCAAGACAGCATTGTGCTTTGTGGTGTTAATTTTTTTTCCTCTCTGTGATCAAAATCTTGAAACAAATTTAGTGCTACACAAGTTCAAACAATGCTGAACAAAAGAAAATAACAACAAAAAATTTAAAAAATTAAATTATTTTTATTATATTATTATATAAATATTTTTAAAATTTTATAAAATTTAAAAAATAAAATATGATCAAATATTTTTATTTTCTATAAAATAATTTTATTATTTTATTATTATTATTATATATATATATATATATATATATCTTATTTTATTATTATATATATTATTACCTCAACACTTACTTTAATCTTCAAATAATATTTATTTATATTTTATATGTGACTCATAAATTTTATATCATATCAACATGTATAATATTAATTTACATAAAAATAATTTTATATATTAAATAATTTTTTTTATTTTACTTTTTATCTAAATTTTAAGTAAAAAAATTTTAACTACTCTTTTTTTTTTCTATCATTTTAATTTTTTTAATTTTTTTTAAAATAATTTAACAAGAATTGATATATTTAATTATATATAATCTATTAACGTAGATAATATTTTATTTATATTTTATATTATAATTATGATGATAAAATTTTTAAAATAAAAATAATAATAGTTTATATTTAATAGTTTTGTTATATTATTTTTTAATAAAATGTTATAATAATAACGACAAATTCAAAATTTTTAAATTAAAATTGATTTAATTATAATAATTAAAATAAATTAAATATTATTAAATATCATAATAATGAAAGTGATTATTTATTTAAAAAATTGATCATGATGTGATATTTAAATCTTAAAGCAACTATTTGATTTACGTATTTAATAATTTTTTCTTCAATTTAAACACCTTTTATATATATTTTTAAAATTTTATTAATACAAAGTTTAAATCTTCATAGCTATAAACAGACTATAATTTAAAAAAAAATTTAAAATATTATAAAAATATTTTTTATATTAATATATTAAGTTTTATTTATTTATTAACATTTCATATTTTAACTATACGATTATTTAAAACTTTCATATTAGAATAAAAATTCTAATACTTTTAAAATTAATTTTAAAAGAATTAAATCATAAACACAAAAAGCAATATTTTCTAATAAAAAAACTTAGTCATTTTATAGATTTATAATTCATTCTTAAAATATAAATTAAAATATCAATATTATACATAAAAAAATTAAATCAATATAAATATATTTTTTATTAATATGATATTTATTATATTATATTCTTCAAATTATATCATTTTTAATTTAAAAAAGAATTATTTAGATCAAACTCACTAGATATTAATTTTTCGTATATAGAATTAGATAACATATCAATTATTAGATCATAAAGACAGACTTACTAAATATTATAATCATAAAAAAATAATATACTTTTTAAGTAATAAATAAAATATTTGTTAACATTATCATTAATTATTTTAATTAATTTTAAAAAAATTTGAAAATTTTTTCATATAATAATATTGATATTTGAGGTATGTTAATATTTATTTATTTTTTAAAAATTTTATTATAACTATTTTCATATAATATGTATTTATTATAATTTATTTTTAAATAAGTAATAATATATTAAAAATAAATTAGAAATATACTTAATTATTTATTAATATTTTTAAAATATAATATATTATAAGTTATATTATTATTTTAATTTATTACTTTTAAAAGTTTAAAATTTTATTTTAATTTTATAAATTTTATTATTGTTAAATTAATAGATATTTATTTAAAATAATTTTATATTTAAAATTATTTTAATTAAAAGATTCATACAATACACAAATATATTTGCTAGTTTATATATTTTAAGGTAATTTTAATAATCATAAGAAAAGAATTAAATATAATTATTTATTCTATTTTTAAAATTTAACATATTATTAGTTTTATTCTTATTTTAATTAATTATTTCTAAAATTTAAAATTATTATAATTTTATTAATTTTATTATTATTAAATTGATAAAATATTATTTAAAATTAATTTACTTTTGATTTTAATTAAAAAACTCATACAATACTTGGACATATTTCTTAATTTATATATTTTAAAATAATTTTAATAATTATGACAAAAGAATTGAATATGGTTATTTATTATATTTTATTTTACTAATTATACTTATTGAACATATTTATTGTATCTTTTAAATTATTATATTTTATTTTCATAATTCAAATTTTTATCATGAATTAAAAAGTATTTAAATAAATAATTTTTTTTTTTTTACATTCTTATTAATACTTTCTATCAGCTTTAATATTTAATAAAAATTAATTAATTAAATAATATAAATATAATATTTTCATAAACAAATATTATATGAATATTTTTAATAAAATATTTTTAAAAATATATTTTTTAAAAACATTCTAGTCATATATTAATAAAATAATATATTTGTCTTTTGTTTATTTATATTTTATCACCAAAAAGTAAGTATTAATTGTAAGTAAGTGAAAAAATTAGTTTAATTTATTATCAAAATATTAAAATTATATATACATAAAATTATTTTTCAATTTATATATATTCTAAAATTTTAAAAATTAAATAAAATATGATTGAAAAAATTATATTAAATTTGATAAAATAATTTTTTTATGATAAATTGTGTATCTTATTTTACTATTGATTTTGTTTATCTCAAGTATTAAATGGAATATAAAAAATCACTATTATATATAGACGGCAAGCTAATCCCCACCGCTATGCATCAAATGTTACTTTTTAACACCCTTAACCCAGTGTATTTTGACGAGGACCATAAACGCCCTTAATTCGGAGAAATCAGAAGGGAATGTAAAGCTTGGTTCAAATGAGTTAGGTTTTGGGGGCAAAAACGTTTCTTAGGAGAAGGAGATTTCATCCATGCTCTAACCGCAAATACCCACCACAAGAAGCTCGATCCATATTGACGCTTCTTTTTCTTCAGAAAACAGGTTTTTTATTCATGTTTCTTCTCCTGGCTTTCTGTTTCGGAATCGGAATGCTATGTTAGTGCCTTTTCAATTTCACATTCGATACCCATAGCTATCTGCAAAACGCAGAAATCCCTTTTACTTTTAGCCCTCAAAATTGCAGAGTGTCGCCTGAAGCGCTGCATGCCTACTGAGAAATTTCACAGAGAAAGAATAAAGGGAGAGAGGGAGAAACCATATGGCTGAACCTTCAGAAAAAGTGCTTAAAAGAACCCAAGAGGGTGATAATACTGATAGGTTGAGTGCACTTTCAGACTGTGTTCTCCTCAACATCCTTTCGTTGTTAGAGACAAAAGAAGCTGCTGCCACCTCAATTTTGTCCGTGAGATGGCGAAATCTTTTTCTTTCCCTTCCTGATATCAATTTGCGATTCTGTGTTGATGATGATGCTTCTGACCGTGATAGACTGTTTGATGAGTTTGTGCGTTTTGCTAATAGAGTGATTGGACACAGAAATAAGGCACCAATTAGAAAGATTCGCCTCTATTTGAAGCATTTTCTTGAAAGGTTCAGTGTGCCTTTTCAGTCTGTGTTGATGTCTGCAGCTGCTGCAATTTCGACTGACAAAGTTGAACAACTTGATATTTTGGTTGAGATTGATAAACCAACTGAGCAATTTTCTGTTCCTTTACCGCCGGGAATTCTTTCGTCTGAAACTCTTGTTTCCTTATCACTAAGCCTTGATATGGGTTGGAATGTTCCTGATTTAGTTTGGCTACCGAATCTCAAGTATCTTTACTTGATTTCGTTCAGATTGGTAGATGAAGATTCTATTCAGAGGTTTCTTCGGGGCTGCCCTTTGCTTGAAAATCTGGTATTAATTGTGCAATCTTTCAGCTATGAGAATGAGAGTGAGGAAAGCATTAAAGTTGAAGCTCTTCGTGTCTCGAGTCCCTTGTTGAAAAGCCTGGTTCTTTGTTGGAATGAAAAAGTTGAATCAGAATTCAATGTTTTTGTGAAGTCGGAAAATCTTGAGAGCTTGGTATGCTCTCTTGAGGGACACCACAAAGTTACCATAGATGCCCCCAATCTAAAGTCCTTGACCATCAATGGTCATGTGCTTGAAGTGCACATAATTCAAAGTCTAGTGTCTATTGATGAGGCAGTAATACAAGCAGAATTTCTGTTTAATGTGACAAGTGTAGATGACTTATTTTTTCGAGCTCAGCATGCTTTTAAGTTTTATAGTGGGTTGCAAAATGTGAAATCACTGAATTTATCAGAGAACATTCTGAAGGTATTTTTCTTTTCTTTACCTTCTTCTTTAATTTGGCTTGACTTCCGAGCTTTTACTTCATGTTTAAATAGAAGAAAAACTTCGTTTTTATCTAATTCTTCTTCTTATATGTGTGAAGGCTCTCTATTTTTCTCCACCAGTAATGCCAACTTTCAGGAACCTGATCAAGCTAAAGCTTACACCTGATTATTGCCACTATTTTCCTCGAAGTGGGATCTTACAGGTGCTATCAAACTTATTTGAAAGTTGTCCTAACCTTGATGTGCTTATCTTCAGTGAGGTAAGTTGTGTTGGACATTTAACTGTCAGAGTTAATTATATGTATTTTGCAGTCCCTTATATACTTTATATGAACAGGTGTTTGACAACTATTTTGGCGAAGATGAGGAATTTGATTCTGTTCTTCCGGTGGCTCTTCCACTAACTTTCATTGAACATCTTAAGGTAGTAGAAATGAATAATTTTAAAGGTAAAGAACTTGAATTCAAGCTGGTGGAATATTTTTTGAAGAATGGAAGATCACTAAAAAAGATTGCTCTTGAAAGAGAGGGTTGGAAGTCTGTACCAAAATATTGTGACAGGATACTGTCCTTCAAGAAATGCTCAGAGGATTGTCAGATTGTATTCAAAAAGAAATGGGATTTTATAAAATGCCCCCGATTGCGACAGGCGATGAATTTATCTCCTTAATAGTGTTTTTTTGTGCCAAACTGATGGGCATATAATTCAGATGCAGACTGAGAAATTTCAGCTTCATGGATATAACACCATAGAGCCAATTTTTTTGTGTAATGGGATTCTGTTCTGTGATTTAGTATTAAATCATCAGCACCATGGAAATGAATGGCAGCTGACTAAATTTACATTTACAGTCTTAATGAGAGCCTTTAGTTTAGAAGTTTTTCTGAATCGGTCAATCACTTATTTTTATTTTTATTTTTTAATTTGATTATCATGATTCTGGCTGTAGAAGTGTCCGCAAGTGTTCAAAAGATTGCGGGTTTCCCTTTCAGGTATTGTCTTGGTGAAGACCTTGATTAATTGTTCAACCATTACTTAAATAGATCTGAATTTGGTTAAAACTGGGGTTAGGATTTGCTTTGACTGCAAGTGTCTTTAGTCGGAATGATTAGTTCATGGTTAAATTTCTTCACTTGAAGTTTTGTTCTATGGTATGTGATAGTTGGCGAGAAGTTGTTATATGCAAGTATGGTGAAAGATATTACACTACAATCAGGAAATTGGCAATGATTTGGACATGTAGGTCTATGTACCTATGCTTTCAAGATTTTTCTGTCCACAAGCATGCATTTTTAACTTTGCCTTCCATAATTTGAAGTTCTCATTCGTGCTGCATGAGCATAGGACTTCAAAATTGTAAGGAGTTAATTATTTTGTCTTCTTCTCATCTGTAAGAAGTTATTCCATTACTCTTTAAGTTTCTGATTTCAGAAACGTTGCCAACGTTTGGAATTTGGCCGATAGGAAGGAAGAACGGATTTTGGCCAACGTTTGGAAAATTGTGAATCTTTTCACTTCTCTGTGATAACTAATTTAGTCCTTAGTTGTAAGTATGTTCAAAGTGTGATTCGGTTCGGTTTGGGTGAAGTCATCTGAACCCGTCATTAAAGGCACATGCGGTTTGGATTGGATTGTATCTTACAGATATGCCACAATTTGATAAAATAGCACTAAATGATCAATTCATATAATAGTACACAAAATTATTAAAATAACAGTGAATGATCAAGACAACATCTGTTTCTAACAAATTATATCTCAAGTCAAATCTGTAGTTTTAAAATTCAAGAATATATATTCAATTTATGATCCATTTATCACATCCCAAAATTCTAGATAAATATATTATATATCCTACCTTGGGAAAAATAGGTCATATTGAAGCATTGTGGATATAACAGAACCAGAGGTAGAATTGAAATAGAGAAATATATTGTTTAAGATGTTTATTAAGTGCACGATCCATCCCTTTCAAGGACAATAATCAATGCAGACAGTCTTAAAAATCCTTTTTCGTTGACTACTAGGAAAGTTGACATAATTGAATGAATGCACAACCACAAGTAATCACCTAATTAAAAATCAAGATGAAAAAAAGTGATATTAGTGGTGATGATTTAAATAAGTATCAACAACAAAGTGATACTTTGTTGATGAAAATAACCCTAAATATTCAGATTAAGAGAGGTGTTAAATATTAAATGTGATTATATTTTTAAATTACTTTAATATTTTGTTTATGTAATTCTTATTTTATGTGGACCATTTAATTGGTTTGGTACATAGTGGTAGAGGTCGACCTTGTAAGGTTAGTTTATCCACCACTCCTTCTAATGCTTTCACCTCTATCCTTACCACTACCACCTATTCCACTACCCCTACCTCTATCCCTGTCACTACCACCTTTATCTTTGTTCTTGCCACCATCATCCATCCTCTTAGGATGATACCCATCTTTTGGAGATGCTAGCCTTGTATCTCATGAGACTTACTTCTTCTAGAGGGTTACAGGGAGTCTCTTAGCTCAAATAGTAGGTCATTTGGGCCAAATAGTATATTACTATATTAGATTAGGTCAAACTATAAATACAAATTTCAAGCATATCATCTATTAAATACAAAATTTAAGACACATATAAACTTATAAATGCATCAATTCTATTAAAAACATCAAGAAATTTACAAAATAAAAATAGACTAAACTCTCTGAGAGAGTTTACATTTAACATTTTAGTCCCTCAAAAATTAAAAATGTCACATTAGTTCCTGACTTCCATATCTGTCATTCATTTTAGTCCCTAAATGCAGACTTTGTTAACAAACAGTAACAAAAACTAATATGTCATGTTAAATGTCATGTCAGAAGCCCAGTTGGTAGAAACATCATCATTTTGAAGGTTTCTTCCTTCCTTCTACTATTGGGATTTCTTCCTTCCATTGTTAGAGTTCTTTCCTTCCTTCCATTGAGCCAACACACCAACTAAAACAAAAGCACAAACATACATCAACCATTCACAACTGCTCTCATTTAGTTCAATCCTCCATTGTAAAAGATTATAAGGTACCCATTGTTCTTATAAACTCATGATGAAAATACAAAGTAACACAAACATTGAAGAAGTAAAATAACTAAAAATTGGTAACCAATAAAGTCGTTTGAAAAAAAAAATAGAAAGAACAAAGTACTAACTCTTGGAAAATAAAAGAGGTGGACTTGGAGAAGGTAACTCAACATTCTTTGCTCTAGTAGTAGATTTATGAGAAAAATAAGAAGGCCAACCTTTTAAAACTCTAGGCCCCCACATGTCACCTAAAGCCGTTAACTGAACGATACAAGTCCATAGTAACATCGATGTTGTTGTCTATATCATCCACACCTTCATTTTAGACTTTGACAACCTAGACCCTGAACTCGACTTGAATCATAACCCACCCATACCCACCTTATGAACCTTACTATTCCACATATTTGAACCCATATTCCCAAAATCTTGTAACTCTAACTTGCACATTTATCCTCATCCAAATGCCTTCTTCATACCCACCAAACCCTAAACGTGAATTCCACCTAAGAAACTCCTTTTCTCCAAGATCCTAGCTTGCCCAAAACGGTGTTGGATCAAACCTAACAACTCAGAAAGCCACCATTTGTCAATGTCAACAACATAAAACACCCCATGCTATTTGTCAATACCGACTCAAGAGCGAAATTGGAGAATTAAACTAGAAAGGGTTCATCGGCAAGTAACACGAAATGATATGTTAGGCACTTTCAAGTTTCTTGGAACGATGCTGTTTTCTTCCAATTGGAACCAATTTGTCATGTTCACTTCTCCAATTCTTTAAAACGTCTTTTTTGACAACTGGGTGTCTGACATGCCACTTAACGTGACATGTCAGCTTTTTGTTGTTATTTGTTAATGAAGTCTGTAGCATCCCTGCTTTATTAATTATTAATTTTATACTTAATGTGAGTTGATAATGCATGTTGCTTGAAATTAGAAGAGTTTTAGATGTGAGTTGCAGAATTTTTTGCTGTAGCGAGAAATCAGCATCAAAATCAGGCATTCTGATGTTCTCTCGCTGTAGCAAGGAGCTTTCACTGTAGCTGGAATGACAAACAGTAAAGTGCAATTTTGTCTGATTTTTTGCTGTAGCGAGAGAAAGTCTCGCTGTAGCGAGTCTAGGGGTATTTAAGGGTTTCCAAGTTGGAAAACTTGGATTACAATCCAGGTTTCAAGCTCTCGCTTGTTCTCTCGACCCCTAACCCTCTCTTCTTAGAAAATCTCTCCAAAACCTCAACTTTCTTACAAATCCAAGCTTAGGAACTTCATTAATCAACTCCAAATAAGTTCTTGGAGCTTTGTTTTTTCTTTTTAGGTGTTTTATAAGTTTCTCCTTTCTCAAAATGTTCTCTTTTGTGATATATAAGAAAATCTTGGTCCTTTCACTCAGAACCTTTCACAAAATCTCTTTCAAAATTTTGTCTCACGGTAAGGAGAGCTCTATATCATTGCTAGGAACTGTTGTATATATGAGTGAAAATGCTTGAAATGAGTATGTATTGAATGATAATATGTGATTGATGTGTTTAGAATATGCTCTGTGATGTTTGAAAATATGTGATTGAACCGTGTGGCTCAAGCCTTAGAGATTCTGGCGCAAAATCAGAATGCTGAACCCGCAGAGTATCGGGGGTTGTCGTCTTTCATGAAACACGACTCTCATAAGTTTGAAGGAAACTTTGATCCGGAAGGAGCCCAAAGATGGATTGCTGACACAGAGAAGATTTTAATGCTATGGGCTGCCGTGAGGAGCATAAGGTGGGTTATGCAACCTATATGCTATGCGGAGAAGCAAACGACTGGTGGTTAAGTGTTTAAGGCCTAAACCCTACCACAAGAAGAGGATCACATCACTTGGGAAGTGTTTAAGGCCTGTTTCCTGGGAAACTACTTTCCTAGGGACTTGCAGAAACAGAAGGTGAGGGAATATCTAGAGCTGAAACAAGGAGATATGTTAGTAGGGGATTATGCTGCCAAATTTCATGAGTTAATAAAATATTGACCTATTATCAATATGAAGGAGGTGAAGAGGATTTATGTGCCCAGTTTGAGAATGGGCTAAGAGTTGATATCCACACGGCTGTTAGTGTATTTCAAGTGATCGATCTCCCTACACTGGTGAGTAAATGTTGGGTGTATGAAGAGAATGCTAGAGGGAAGTCGGTAGACACAAGAGTTGGAGGACCAATGAGGCAAGATAGGAGACCTTCAAGATTTCAAAGGAGATCTTATTCTGGCCCAGCTCAGTCTAGAGCGAGTAGAGTGACAACTCGCAGAGAGGGTGGTTCTAACTCCAATGTTTCTCAAGAGCCATTGAAGTGCTTTCGATGTGGAGGACCCCATATGATCCGAAATTGCCTACAACTAACTACAGCATGTGGTCATTGCGAGAAAATGGGACATCCAACTGACGCTTGCTGGTTTGCACCACAAGAGAGCAGAAGTGTAAGTGGGAGTAATAGGCTGGCGCCTAATAGCAGTGGAGGATCCCAGTCTAATGTCCAAGGCCGGGTGTTTGCTATGACTGGCTCCGAAGCAACGAAGTCAGATGACCTCATTTGAGGTAAATGTATATTAAAAGATAAATTGGTAGATGTTCTTTTTGATTCAGGTGCTACTCATTCATTTATATCCTTGGATTGTGTGCATTGTTTGAAATTATCTGTTTCCTCTTTGCCCTACACCATAGTGGTATCTACTCCTACAAATCAATCCGTTGTAACTTCAGACGTATGTATGGGTTGTACTGTGACTATTCATGGTAGAATTTTCGTGATAGATATGATTTGTCTACCCTTTTCTCAGCTAGATATTGTATTAGGAATGGATTGGTTGTCGTCCAATCATATCCTTCTGGATTGTAAAGAGAAAACGCTTATTTTCGATGATAGTACACCAAAATGTCCAGAACTTTTAAGTGAGGGAGATTCAAGGAAGGTGATCAGTACCAAAGCCTTTATGGTACTCTTTTCTGCTGAGGTAGAAAAGAGTGTGAAGGTGGAGCACATTCTGGTAGTGAATGAATTCTTAGGAGTATTTTCAGAGGATGTGACTGAGTTACCCACAGAGAGAGAAATCGAATTTGCGATCGATCTCATACCAGAAGCGAGTCCAGTTTCCATCGCACCTTACCGAATGTCGCCAATCGAGTTGGCTGAAGTAAGAAAGCAAGTTAAGGATTTACTGGAGAAACAATTTGTGAGACCGAGCGTATCACCATGGGGAGCCCCTGTGCTCCTAGTGAAGAAAAAGGATGGAAGCATGAGAATGTGCGTTGATTATCGCCAACTGAACAAAGTCACAATCAAAAACAAGTATCTGCTTCCCAGAATAAATGATTTGATGGATCAACTAAGAGGGGTCTCAGTGTTCTCAAAGATTGATCTTTGATCAGGATACCATCAAATTCGGGTAAAGAACGACGATATTTCGAAGATCACGTTCAGAACTCGGTATGGACACTACGAGTACCTAGTTATGTCGTTTGGTGTGACTAATGCTCTGGCCGTGTTCATGGATTACATGAACCGTATCTTTTATCAATACTTAGACTAGTTTGTGGTAGTATTCATAGATGATATTTTGATCTATTCGAAGAGCCATGAAGAACATACTGAGCATCTGAGAATTGTTCTGCAGATTCTTAGAGAGAGGCAGTTGTATGCCATGTTTTCAAAATGTGAATTTTGGTTATCGCAAATATAATTTATGGGCACGTAGTGTCAGGTGAAAGAATTATGGTTGACCCAGCTAAAGCTTGAAGCGATGTCTCTGTGGTCAAGACCTACTAACCTGACTAAAGTTTGAAGTTTCTTAGGATTGGCTGGATATTACCGGAAGTTCATTGAGGGATTCTCAAAGGTAGCATTACCTTTAACGAAGTTGACGCGAAAGGGGACAGATTTCGACTGGAATGAGGAATGTGAGTTAAGTTTCCAAAATCTGAAAGAGAGACTTACATCTGCACCGGTGTTGGTTCTACCAGAACTTGAAAGGAATTTTGAAGTGTACTGCGATGCATCAGGACAAGGTCTTAGATGTGTTTTGATGCAAGATAGGAGAGTGGTGGCATATGCTTCTAGGCAGTTGTGACCTCACGAGGTCAATTATCCTACGCATGATTTGGAATTAGCACGGTAGTTTTTGCACTAAAGATATGGAGGCACTATCTCTTCGAAGCTAGATTTGAAGTCTTTAGTGACCACAAAAGCTTGAAATACCTATTCGACCAAAAGGAGCTGAATATGCAGCAACGGAGGTGGATGGAATTCTTGAAGGATTATGATTTCACGCTATCATATCATCCGGGAAAGGCAAATGCGTTGAGTAGGAAGTCTTTACATATCTCAGCGATGATGGTGCGAGAATGGAAGCTGATTGAAGAGTTTAGAGATCTGAACTTGGCAGTAGAACTCCGACCCAACCGCCTTTATCTTGGAACTCTAAAGATTAGTAATGATTTCCTGGCTCAAATTCAATCAATGCAACAAGAAGATCAATATTTTCAAGAAATGATGCATTAGAGGAATGGAGGCAAGGACTTAGCATTTTATCGTGATTCGAATGGGCTAATCAAGTTCAAAGATAGAGTTTACATCCCTCAGCATGAACAGCTAAAGCAGATGATTCTAGAAGAAGCCCACAAGAGTAAACTAAGTTTTCATCTGGGAGTGACAAAGATGTACTAAGATTTGAAAAGGAATTTTTGGTGATATGGGATGAAGAAGGAAATAACAGAATATGTGGCCAAGTGCTTAACTTGTCAGAAATCTAAGACAGAACATCAACGTATGCCAGGAGAGTTGCAACCACTGGAGATTCCAGAATGGAAATGTGATGACATTTCTATGGATTTTACGTCCGGATTGCCAAGGACCAAGCAGAATCATGATGTGGTATGGGTAATAGTGGATAGATTGACTAAGACTGCCCATTTTCTTCCAATCAACATGAAATATAAGTTGGAAAGGTTAGCAGAGCTGTATATCAAAGAGATAGTTAGGCTACATGAAGTGCCTTTGAGCATCGTGTCTGATTGAGACCCCAAGTTCACTTCCAAGTTTTGGAAAAGTTTGCAAAGATCATTGGGGACTAAGTTGAGACTTAATTCAGCATATCATCCTCAGACCGATGGAAAAACGGAGCGGACCATTCAAACTCTTGAAGATTTGTTACAAGCTTGCGTGATGGAGCAACAAGGAACGTGGGAAGAGTGCCTATCTTTGATAGAGTTCACCTATAACAATAGTTACCATGCTAGTCTCGGGATGGCACCGTATGAAGCATTGTATGGAAGAAAGTGTAGGACACCTTTATGTTGGTATGAGTCCGGAGAAGCGATTCTACATGCAACTGACTTAGTCCAAAGGCAGAACGATCAAATCAAGATGATCAAGGAGAAGATCAAGATCTCACAAGACAGACAGAAGAGTTACTACGATAACTGAAGAAAACTGTTAAAATTTCAAATGAGAGATCATGTGTTCTTGAGAGTCTCACCCATTACTGGAGTTGGTAGGGCGTTGAAAACCCGAAAACTATCTCCCAAATTCATTGGACCATTTGAAATCTTGAGTAGAATTGGCCCTGTAGCATATGAGATTGCACTATCTCCAAATCTGTCTAAATTACATCCTGTTTTTCATATATCTCAACTCAGGAAATACATTCCAGATCCCTCTCATGTAATCGAACTTGATCCAGTCCAAGTTTGAGAAAATCTCTCTTATGAAGTATTTCAGGTAAAGATTGCCGATCACCGAGTCAAACAGTTGAGGGGCAAAAAAAATATCTCTAGTGAAAGTGATATGAAGTACAAACAATGAAGGAGATGCTACTTGGGAACTTGAAGATCAAATGAGAGAAGCTTAACCCCATCTCTTTCTGAGCTAGTGAATTTCGAGGACAAAATTCTTAAAAGGGTGAGAGAGTTGTAACATCCCTACTTTATTAATTTCATACTTGATGTGAGTTGATAATGCATGTTACTTGAAATTAGGAGAGTTTTAGATGTGTGAGTTACAGGTTTTTTCGCTGTAGCGAGAAATCAGCATCAAAATCAGGCATTCTGATGCTCTTTCGCTGTAGCTAAAATGACAGATAGCAAAGTGTAATTTTGTTTGGTTTTTTCGCTGTAGCGAGAGAAAGTCTCGCTGTAGTGACAATTTACTCGTTGTAGCGAGAATGTCGTGAGTCTAGGGGTATTTAAGGGTTTCCAATTTAGAAAACTTGGATTACAATTCAAGTTTCAAGCTCTCTCTTGTTCTCTCGACCCCTAACCCTCTCTTCTTAGAAAATCTCTCCAAAACCTCAACTTTCTTACAAATCCAAGCTTGGAAACTTCATCAATCAACTCCAAGTAAGTTCTTGGAGCTTTGTTTTTTCATTTTGGGTGTTTTCTAAGTTTCTCCTTTCTCAAAATGTTCTCTTTTGTGATATCTAGGAAAATCTTGATCCTTTCACTCAGAACCTTTCACAAAATCTCTTTGGAAATTTTGTCTCACGGTAAGGAGAGCTCTATATCATTGCTAGGAACTGTTGTATATTTGAGTGAAAATGCTTGAAATGAGTATGTATTGAATGATAATATGTGATTGATGTGTTTAGAACATGCTCTGTGATGTTTGAAAATTTGTTTGGAATGATAGATGATGAGTATGTTTCATGTGAATCTGAGCATGTGTATGATGTACTGAGCCCGAGAGGAATAAACCTCGGCAATGAGAAAGTAATATATAATGAAATAATGAAATAGAAAGAGACATAGAAAGATGAGATATAAAAGAGAAAGAGAAAGGAAATCGAAATGAATACGAAAAGGATAAGTATAGATAATTCAGAGGTACACTGGGAGTGTGAAAGATGGAGAAGACTGAAAAGTCTTGGGGAAATGAGGGTGGTGGATGGTCCTCTTGAATTGTGCACTATAAATGAGAGTAGGAGTACCACAGGCCTCACACTCGTTTCCTGACCTATACTCCTGATCACATTTTTGCTAAAAGGGGCCGGGTCGGCACACATTGTATCCGTGTAGCTGCGGCTATCCAGCAACTATTTATGCTAAAGAAGACCTCAAGGGATCCTAGGGATAGTGGAAATGAGAATGGTACTGAGTTTGGAAATAAGTAATGAGAGAATAAATGGAGAAACATAATTTGAATGCATAATTGAATTGATTATATGATGCATGTTGAATGTTTGACCTATATTATTGAATTCTCTGAGTGTGTATGCTTGGCAATGAATGTGGAGACTCATCCTTACGTAACCATTTCAAGGAACCTAGATGACGACACCCAGAGAGGGAATTAGAATAGTAGACAGTTCAGAAGTAAATATTGTAAATGATGTTTTTGGCGAGTATCAAAGATTTACTTCCTTTAGAATCCTTGTACATGATAGTGAGGTGCCTAGTGAGGTAGTGATGATGGAATTGAAGCTAGCCTTTAGTATCCACTTTGATTTGTCTGTATATAGAATCCATCACACCTTTTATATTTATATCTTTTCTGGTGTTGAGAGAACCCTTGCAGCAGTAACGTATCTTGTTACGTACCATGACCACGATTAGTCTAGAGTACCATCGCGATGGACGATTGAACATATTATAGGTGTTCAGGTCACTGCAGACCCAGGCGATCAGTATCTTGGCTCGGATGACGAGTTAGGCTGCTCATTAGGACCATTATTATTTTGAGTACTTGTAAATGTAAATGAATGGTCCTAATGTATTTTGATAACTTTATGTGTATTTGAAATACAAATATATGTTGTACATTATGAAGCAAATTATGACTACAATATTTAATGTTTATTTACCAGTTTTAAAGACTAATGTTTTATTATTCAAATTTTCTAATTTAAACTTTTATTATTCAGAATCTCTCTGATTTTGATAATTTTGATTTATTTTTTTTTACTATTATTATGTTAATTAAAAATAAGGATGTCATAAATTCTCGTTTAAAGACTAAAATAAATCACAAAAAGATAGAATTCAAAAAATAACGTGAAATTTTTAAGTTGCTTGATTGAAGTTGCTCTAAAAGGCCTTGGCTATTGCAACTAAAGTTGCAAGGTACTATCATTTCATATTGACGTGAATTCTAGGTGTCTCCGAGCTGGCATTGATTTTGCATGACAAATATGTAATATGAAATATTTGCTCTCAGATAGATATTCGTAGTCTTAATTTGTTAATGTATTCTTAATTTGATTGTTCAACTAATCAATTCAAGGTTTGAAGATATCACCCAAAAATAAATAATAGATATATAAAGCTGATTCTGCCATTGCCTGACAAAAAAGAAACAATGCCAATAAATGAAAACTTGCACCATCAATCAATGAAATTTCCCATTTTAAGAACATACATACACTATTGTTATTCTAAAAATTAATTCGAGGATAGAAAGAGTAGAAAAGCAAAGTACGTGTAATCCATATTTTTTTAAAAAAGAATAGTTACAAAAATGTTGCTTAACTTTTTTTAACTATTTAAATAACGTTGTTGAGTCTAATTTAACATGCACTCAAAATATTATTATTACAATTTTTATAATATATGTCTAAGAAAATTAAATAAAATATAAATTTTTATTACGAATTATAACATTTAATATTATGAATAATTTGGTCATTATCTGAGTGTCAATGACTTTCTCGATTTGCCTCAACTTTAATACTTTGTATGTGGCTTTTGTATTGTGTCATTTTGGTTTATTATATAACCCATCCCCCTTGCTGGTAACATGCTTTTCATGAAAGATTCAATGTTTGACATTTGAAACTTGTGAAATGAACTCATCCTTAAAGATTCGATTTCTGAGATAAAAGATCTTATAATTTCTTGATCAGTCACTCCAATATTATTTTTTTATTAATGAAATGTCAAATATTTATTAGTCAGTTATATATTTTATATTGTGTTCATGTAAAACATGATGTAAATTATAATTTAAAATTTAAAATTTTACTTATAATATATTTATAGTTATCTATTAGGTGTTATTGAAGTCTTTATCAAATTCATTTCATGAACTTTTAGCTAATCTTTTACTTGTTAAATTCTTACATTCTTTTAATTTAGTTAATTTTTAATTAATCTTATTACATATCTATTGTCCTTTTGTGTTTCCAGCCTTCCAAATTTTTTTTTGAGTCAGTATACTAGCATAGAAAATTTTTAGAACACGATTAGAAAATAGAATAAAACTTTAAATATTATATATGTAAGATTAAAAGATAATAAAATCTAGAAATAAATAAATAAACTGATAAGTTACTATTATACAAAAATAAGCTTTGTTTTTCTATTTCTCATATATATATAAGACAGTGTAAATATTTTTGTAGTATCATTATTACAGTAAAAATTATTGATTTTTACAATAATTAATATAAAAATCACATTTACAATTAAAACATGTAAAGAATTTTATGCTAACAAACGAAAGTTACATTAAAATTATACCATTAATAACTTAATAAAATACTTAAAAACTAATTATTTTAAAAATGTGACGTGAGAAAAAGCTATAGTATTACTGATAGATATTTAAATAAGCGTGCTGCAATAAACGAGCTGGAATCTTGTGGGATTTTATGTGAATGACAATTCCGTAAGACTATAACAATCGAATCACTTTCGGTATTCGCATCTATGATTTAAACAAACAGAAGACACCATTTCTGATTATATTCCTTTGAGGATTTCTTTTTATTTTTTTCGTTTTGGTTATACTATATTGTCTTTAAAGTCTCTATTCACATTGCTTCTGAACTAAGCCATAACGATGTGGTTTGTTATGGACGATAATATTGATAAGTCAATGGCGTATTGGCAATGCAATTATCGGTCATGGCACTGTATGCATTTCCATGGTTCCTGTGAAGCGCAAGCTTTTATATATGGATGCATAACTTTGTCAATAACAATAACTATAGCCCTCGATGAACGAAGCTTAAAGAGTCTAAAATTCAAACCTAGCTTGAGTTAGCTAATTACATATGGGTTCTTTATTTCTTATGGTCCTTCTCCTTCTTGTTGCCAATCGTATCTTTGTCCAAGGAAGTATGAATACAACAAACATAACCTTCGATCAAAACTATGAGGTTACATGGGGTGATAATCATGTTTTGTCCTTAAACCAAGGAAAAGAAATTCAGCTCACAATGGATAACTCTTCAGGTTAATTAGTAACATTTCCCTTCCTTTAAGTCCCGTGCTACTCCTTTTGTTTTTTATTTTTGTATTTTTCTTAGTTATATTTTTTTCAATTCGCAATGTAGAATTCATCCTCTAATTTGCACATTTTTCAATTATACACTTCTTAATTTTTATTTATTTTTAACTTTTAAAAAGAGAAAATTATTTTTAAAAACAGAAAACAAAAGCCCTAAAAATGTGTATGGAAATTAGAATTGGGCTTGAAAAGGGTGAAAGTGTACATTGTACCTTCATGTAACTTATCAGTTTTGTAAAGAGAATAATAATTGATTGCATATTGATATAGTGGTATGTGGATTATGAATAAATTGCCTTGCATGATGACTTTCAGATGGACAGAAGCACGTACATGCATAGTATGTTTCGCATATACCTATAAGTAACTATTTAAGTTTAATTATAGTGTTGCTGTGCTTTCAATTTATTATTTTATTTTCATTTCAATCTTTTCTTTATTGAACAATTTAAGTGCTGTATCTGAATTATTGCTTCGAAGCAATTGAAGTGCATATATGTGATTTTGATTAACCATCAAGATATTACGTACCAACCATACACTGTTTACTTAGTGGTACTGTGATATGACATTATTTTCATTAGACATTTATAAAATAAGCAAAGGCTCAAGCTTATGCGTTTGTCTAAGCAAGAATTAATGAGTTCATTATCTTTTTAGTGCTTCGGAATTATAGTTAATTTTGATTTTGGTTATAATTTTTTCATTTAAACTCTAATTTAATTTAAACACGTGTTTTCAGTCCCTCCCTTTAGTTATGTTTGTTAAAGTAATTAATGATGTGACTAAGCAAAACACGTGAGATAACTTGATTATGCAATGTCATCGCCTAATAAAGCAGAACTAAGAATAAAGATCATATTAAAAAAAAACATTTGATCGATGGCTATATTAAAAATATATAGTTAACTTTTAAGGGATGAAATTAATGTATATTTATCAAAACATATTCTTCAATAAAATAAAGGATCAAATAAAAAAAATTATTTTATAGGAAACTAAATAAAAATTAATTGATTTTTAAGGGATGAAAATGTAGTTAAACTTATGTGTGTATGAACGTTGCTTACCTATATACAGGATCAGGTTTTGGATCCAAGATGACATATGGGTCAGGACTATTCCATTTGAGGATCAAAGTACCCAACAGAAATTCTGCTGGAGTTGTCACAGCTTATTATGTGAGCTCTTTCAACTTTAATTCCTCATTTCAAATGAAAATATGGGAAAAGTTATGCTTAAAAGCTAATCTCAATTCTCAAGGACATATTATCTATTGATTCATAATGTTTTTGATACAGTTAACTTCACAAGGAAGTAGGCATGACGAGTTAGACTTTGAATTCTTGGGTGATAGAGAAGGAAAGTTATACAGATTGCAAACCAATGTATTTGTAGATGGCCAAGGGAATAGAGAGCAAAGACATCACCTTTGGTTTGATCCCACTGCAGATTTTCACAGTTATAGAATTCTTTGGAATCAACATCAAATTGTGTAAGATGCATATCCTTCTTTGACTCATTTGCTACAGTTTGTTACTTCGATATAAAAATAATTGTTCTATCATTATTTTAACATAAAATAATTAACATTATATTCACTTTTTTCTATTTTCTAAATTTTTTATCCTTTTTTTCTTCCATGCACTTATTCTAGTGCCTAAATAAAAATTGTGAAGCTAAATTGCGTAGTGGTTTATAAATACGTGTAATCCTAATTAAAATAGCCAACAAGGATCTGGTTAAATTTCAACGATTATAAATCAAATTGATTAAAGATTTGGAATTTGATTCTAATTCGTTGGATATAATATGCTTAAATTTTCAATTTATTTAGAAGAAAATAATTTCGTATATTTATTAATTTAAAAGAACTACTAATTTTAAACAAATATTATTTTAAAATAAAATCATTTATAAAACATGAGCCAATTACATGTAGTAATATAATTTAATTGCTAATCAAAGTTTTATTGATTGGTACGTAGATTTTATGTGGATAACATCCCTATCAGAGTATACAAGAATAAAAGTAGTATTGGAGTGGGTTACCCATCAAAGCCAATGCAAATACAAGCAACTTTATGGGATGGTGATAGCTGGGCAACAAATGGAGGCAAAACCAAAACTAATTGGAGCTATGCACCATTCAAAGCAAACTTTCAAGGTTTTGATATTAGTGGCTGTGAAATTCCAAGCTCAAATAGCTCTATCATCCCAAATTGTTCTTCTGATAAGTACTGGTGGAATACTCTAAAGTTTTGGCAGTTGGATCCTGTAAGACAGAGACAGCATGAAAATATAAAACACAAGTACATGACCTATGACTACTGTGCAGATAGGAATAGGTATCCAGAGCTTCCCTTGGAGTGCCTTTATTAATTACCCAATTAATGAACTTCACAAATATATATATATATATGCATCAAGAAAAAGAACCATATATATATATATATATATATATATACATAGTACTACTATGGAATTGAATTGGCACATATATTTTCAATGTATTTATTGCTGAGTGTTGATTGTTGTTGATGTTTTCCCAAAATTGATATAAGAGGAGCAATCATATTTCTGTTGACATATTTTACATTATGTCATTCTTGATAAATCTGAAATTGTTTTAAACGAAAAGAGAGGTAGATCAAAATTAGTTGACGAACAATTTATCCAATAATTTTTGTTTATAAATCTACCAAAGCAACAGCTTCTGAAATAAATTTTTTACTTCTATTATAAATGTAATTGAGTTTTACATTATTAATTAACTAAATAGGTGTCGCTTTTCAAACAACAAAACAATATGATTAGTATGTCTATCAACGAAAAGAAAACACAATACAGGCTTTACAATTTAAACAACTGACGAACAACTCTTTATACACTGCTTGGGTTAGTGCACTATGTGTACATTGCATGAGTTGTCAAAATTAAATATAATTATTTAACATTTTAATGGAAGCATTAATCATTCAGAGTTAACAATCCAATAAGCACAATTTGGTGGCATGTTTATTGTTTAGGAGTTGACGGGGAAGTTGAGGAAAGAGAATGAAGTACTGATAATAGTAGAAATTAATCTTGATATAAATGCCATTGCATAAAATGCATCATGGATAATTATTACTTTGGAATTGAAAAACAGTACTACTTCATAAAAATGAAAAATAATATCTAAATTTCCAGCATTATCCTAGAAAACTCCTGCATTTGATCCTCAGGTAAATCTAGGCATATACTAAGACCACCTTGATCTTGTGGCCCTGGCAAGAGCATGACCAAACCAGGCTTAACTGCAAGCGGAGTGGCACATTTTAGTCTACCCCATGCAAAAAGTTGCTCCTCAAGTCCAAGTCTCCACCATGACACCAAAGAAAAACTATAATCCCTACAAGGTGCCCCTCTATTCACCTCCAACCAATCTATACCTGACTTAATATACTCATCATCCAATCTTTCAATCCCTTCTTGTACTTTCCTTATGTGACAAGCATCTTCTAGTTCCTGGAGTTCCCTCACAGTTGCTCTTGCAAAACCAGGAACCAATGCATTGCCTGCAAACTGATCTGGAAGCTCAGGAACAACCCTTTTCCTAACATCTACTGGAAACAACATTGTTGATACTTTATCCTCTGCCATCTTTGTTGCAATACTTCTTGCCTTCCATATTTTTGCAGCAACAACTTGAAAAGTGGAGATATTCTTTAAGTTGTTGTCCTTCAGAGCTTTCATTTTGAAGCTGGAAATTCTTTGAGGTGATAAATAAAGCAAATGAATTTGATTTTCTGTCACGGACTGTCTGACATTGATTCCACTTGTGCCTCGGACAGTAAACAAGTTCTGTATGCCAGTAGATTTTGAATACTCAAAATGTGGATGATTTATCTTTGGAGGGTTGCGAGCTCTTAGCAGTTTTCTATCTGCATTAGGTACTATTATGAGGTCATTACCTCGTGTTAATGCAGCCAAATTCACCTCAAAATCTCTGACTGCAATACCATCCAGTGTGCAGTGGTTGTAGTGAGAAGCAAGTGCCAAACTTCCACAACCAAACTGTGTTAACTGTCATAAACAATAAATAATGCAGTTAACTTTAATCACTTATTTTTTGTATCCCTTGTGATTAAAATTACTAGGGGCGCAAATAAAAGTTTATGTCTAGGTTGTGTGGGTTTTAACCGAAGGATATTAGGCCTATGACTCCAACATCTGCATTTAACAATTAAGATAGTGAAATAATAAATAGATTGCGTGAATATATAAGAAGCTCATAAAAGTGGGTCAAGTTAATTTGAAATGTTTGTCACATGCACATGCAAAAAATGATTTAAAATCAAAATTTATATATTTGAGACACGCTGCTGCAATCATGGAAGCAATAGAGTTTGAAAACTAGCAAACATTAACCTGCAAGGATACAAGGGGTTTTTCTTTCAGGTCAGTTACATGTTCACCCTCTGCATCCAAGAAAACAACCAATTCCCTTAACTCTGGATTAGGTGCAGAGATCACACCAAATTCACTCAGTTTTCTTTCAGTTCTTGCAGCTACAACCACAATACCAGCACCATTACAGTCTATTTCAAACCGATGATTCTCCTCCAAACTGGGCACTAGCCGACCAGCCATAAAGTCATAATGCACAAGCATTTTACTGAGTGCACTGTATAATTTGCTACAAATCTCATTAAAGCTCATTTGGCTGCTTGGAGGATCAAAAAAGGATGCAGAGTCTTGGTATACAACAAGGGACAGGTCAATATTTGACAAGAACATTCTCTTGCAAGGTGTTGGCTGCTCAGGTGCAACTACAACTTTCTCAACCAGTTCAATCCTGCCCATTGCATACAATATTTCGTTCTAATGCACAAACAGCATAGATGGTTATGTCCCAGTATATAAGTTTGCTCTATGGTTAATAATATGTGAGAAAATATATGAGCTGTTGACCGTGTCATGAGCAGTAAATTTATGCATTAAGCCAGTTTCTTAATATTACTCTGATGTTACACATAATTCCTCAATGCTGTTCACGTATAAGGAGTTACTCTCAATATTGCTTCATAAATTTACTGTGTAACTTCCAACATTATGAACGATCGAGGAATCTGCTAAAAGTTCAGGTGTTATATTGTTTTGTTATTTATTATGCTCATTCCTTTTGTGGTGGTTAGATTAAAAGGTTTATGAATGTCATTTTGACTAAATTTTGTAACAAACCAAGGATAAGTTGGCAACCTGAACGGTATGAAAAAAATGTACTTGCACTTGACCACTGTATGAACCTGGGAATTAATCTTAAACCAAAAAGCATTGTATGATATAACATTCGGTTTTGAATTTCACTATTGTTAATGAACGCAATCAGTTACGTTTGAATTACGTCGCCAAAAAGTTATATTTGTACAGTTTTTGTATTACTTGTATTGCATAAGTCGTTTTATGGAGTCTCATTATACCACAAACGTTTTTGTTTATCTATTTTGGTCCGAGCAACATCATGGTAGTGGCATTTATTCTTACATGTTGCATGAATTTAAAATTTGTGAATATTCCTTCGTTTAAAATTTTGCTCAATTGTATTTTTAGTTCTATAGTTTAACATGTCCAATTTTAATCTTTTATTTTAATTTACCTGCATTGAGTTTCTTAAATTTTTTTTAATTGTTCAAACTAAGTATCTCATCTTAAATTTCATTCAATAATTAACAAAAATATTAAAAAAATGTGATAAATTATTGCTTAAATCAATAAAAAATCAGTTTTTTATATATTTATATAATTTAATGACATATTATATCTTTGTTATGTTTTTTATAATCCTTAAGTACAATATTTTTTGGGAGACTTAAATGATCAATAAAAAAATTAATGAGACAAATACATTTAATTAAAATTAGAAGAATAAAACACAGACATAACTAATATAAGTGCAATTAGTTCAGTTAAGCCTTAAAACTTGTCTCAATTCTTCGTCAAACTTAAATGCAAGAGCGGTTTAATGAAATTAGAATGAAGCTTCATCAAGTGCTTCAACCAGTTATGTTGCTTCGTTATTTTTCTCAAAGTATTGATGGAAATTAATATTTTTTTTAAAAAAAAAGAGATGATAGTTTCTTATTTCCCAATAAAAATTCTCTAGTTTAATAATTTTTAATTTATACAGTTCTATAAAAGATGAAATTAATTCTCTAGATAATCGAAAACGTACTTCCAGTAATAACCAATAATAAAAGCTAGCAAGACATACATAATAGACAGGAGTAAAATTCTTTATCTAGCAAATTCCCATATTCCCTTCTCTAATCCCCAATGACCTAAAAAAATTGGAAACACAGAATGCAATATAAAAAGAGAAAAGTAAAGAAGGCAATTAAAGAGTAAAATAGAGAGAGCGAAGACAGAGAAAAATAAAGAAATGAGTAATAGAAGTTTCAAAGAAAATGAAAGAATTCAAAAGGAAAAATGAAGATATTCAAAAGAGCTAAGCTGCCACACTTTTAAGATGCATCCGTGATCCACCACCTGCCACAAACAGGTCCTTCCAGCTCAACAATCAACTCCAATTCTTGCTCTCAAGCTGCTATTTTACCTTTTAAATATGAATAGCTTGTTTAGCCCACTTTCAGGAGACGAGATTGAAAATGGAATAGAAGCACCAAAAGGATTGAAAAATATTCCAGGCAAGGTAGATTAAGTCCAATGTCTAAACATACCCCTACGAATGTGTTATAAGTGTAATATTAATAGAAATACAAGACCAAAATGTTAGCCTGTCGACTCCAAGGCTAAAAGAATCTTCTTTCTCGGTCCCTGAAATAAAAAAAATAAAAATAAAAATAAAAAAGAAAATTTAAAATCGAATTAACGAACGCGGAAGCTATCAATAATTATAGAAGGCGAATTGGTAAGAGTGAGGAATCGGCGCTGCTCGATGATGCGTACCATTGGTATACCCATCGCCTTGAGATCCTCATCAGTCATATGATTGAGTGCAGTCATATCAACCTGAAGAATAGCCTTAGTCATAAATTTGAACTATCTAAGGTGAGACTAAATTTATACTCCTTTCAGTCTTTTTTCTAAGATCCTTTCAAAACTTTTTATAGTCTTTTTAATGTAAGACCCTTTGCAAAGTTATAAAATAAATATATATTTTTTCTCATATTTGCCCTTCATAAATATTGAATCTCACCTCTCATAATTAGTAAGCTAAAAGAGTTTGATTTTATATAAGGATAAACTTAAAATATTGTAATTAATTTTTTAAAAAGCCAATACATTAACTGACTTCAATGACTTTTTAACATGTGTGATTTAGTTAAAAATAAGATTAGAGGAAGCATAGTACTGAATTTTTGTGGAAGTACATGTTTGGCTTTCTTCAATTAGAATAAACAATCATTTCTTTCTCCTAACTTTCTGAAAGAAACATGCAAGGAGGGGAAGGAGGTGCAACAACATAGATGTATGACATACCTCTTCAGCCTGAAAACTTATGAGATACTTTTCAAGACCCAAGGACTGCAAGAATTCATCCACTGATGCATCAGCCTGTAGAGCAAGAATCAGGAGTTATATTCCATTAATTTTCCCTCTGGTAAAGAAAAGCATTGCATAGCAAAGAAATCTGGAGGCACGAACAACAAAAGAACATTTCACAGAACTGATATTATTATGAACAAAAAGTAGAACAATTTCATGTATTTAAGATATGATACTGTAATCAAAATAAGATACAAAACTCGGAACAATTTAAAAGATTATATACATTAAGAGAGACTTGTAGGATTATTATGATCTAGGTTACCTCCATTGTTTTTATATTGTTAATCAACCAGTTTGTTTGGATCACATACAAAATTAGCGCATCATCCACTTTCACTGTAGGTATCAATTACTACTGTCAGTGTCACAATAGGAAATATTTAGTAATAAGCATTATTACAGCCTTCCAACATTATCACATTGCCCAGCAGATTGACAATTCATTATGTAAAACTGTGACTGTCAGGACCATAGGGAAGTAGTTCAGTAGTTAGGATAGTTAGAATATCAGTTAGTCAATTTGATGGAGTTAGTGAGATAGTTAAATAGTTGGACTGAAGAGAGGGGAATCCATTCTATCTGGAGGAGAGATCTATCAATAAAATCCTTCTTTTATTATTCCCCAATTCTATTTTGGGTTCATAACAAATTGACCCAGCCTGCCAGATCCAAATTCTGAGCAGAAGAAATGGAGAATTCCATGATGTTCTTAAAGAAGGGGTGCAGTGATCTATTTGAGCTTAAGCTTTTATTTTGCAACAGTTGAGGAAAAAACAAGAAACAAAACCAGAATCAAGCAACAAAGCAGGTGATTGTGAGAAGGCAGCCAATTCTCATGGATTGCAGCCTCATTCTTGCAAGGCCTAAATTTCAGAATTGAAACGAAGGCTTCACATGCTACTAAAGAGTTAAGAAATCATTATTGGGGGCTAGCAAGTCTGACAATTCCAACTAACAACTCAACCTTCTAGGCTAGCAAGTCTGAAAATTCCAAAACCTAAATTCCCATTCTATTTATTTGTAGTCTACTTATTAGGTACTCATCTAATTCAGGACAAAGGGTCAATCATGATTCACAATTAAATGATGGATTATTGTTTGGGCCATTGTAGATGAGTACTTTTCAACTTCAACCTACCATACACTAGCATTTAATAAACAGTAGTTCTCATCTACAATAGCCTAATCAGCAACCCAATATTTAATTATATTTAACGACCTTTGTCTAGCATCATCATCCTACCCTTAAGATTTAAATTTCTAACGCTTCTACCCAAATCCAGCTATTAAGAATTTGACGTGGACCCCTACACCCCAAGGGTGATGCAGCTTTTCTGTTTTGACTTTAAGAAAGATGAATTCAGCACAAATAAGACTTGGGCAGAGAATCCCATATCCATTTTTGCTACTGTTACATTAGACAAAGCAAGAACAGTGAAACACGCTAACACTCATAGTAGTCAATCCCAGATAGCGGCGCGGAGCAGCTAGCCTCAAAAACGCTATAGCGGGGATAGCGGTAGCGGGATGACCGCTATTCTGAAGTTTTAATGCACACACATACATGCTGAAAAATATAAAATTAATATACAAATTTGGAACAAAACAAAAAAGGAAAACACAAATTAGAGAAGGAAATAAATAACAAAAAGTAAAGGGTGCAAGAACAGCCATTGTTTCTACTTGAAGCTTTGAAATTTGAAACAGAACAAAGTAGGGGAATCAAAACAGAGAAAGAAATAGAAAAAAAAGAGAGAAAAGAGAAGAAATTAGAGGAGAGGTGAGAGGAGAGCTGAGGAGAGAGTTGAAAGGTGAGTTGAGGGGCTAGGGTCTGCAAGAGGGAGGGAGAAGATTCAGAAAATAAAGGGGGCTGAAATCCCAATATTGCCCCCCCTTAAAAGCCGCGATTGTCGCTATTTCCCGCTATAGCCGCGATTATCGCTATTTTCGGCCGCTATTCGCGGCACAACAGCCGCGACACTGAACCACGACGCTACAAGGTTGCCATAGCGGAATTGCACCGCTATGCCGCGATAGCGGCCGCTATTGATAACTATGCTAACACTATCATTCTAGTGAAAACTACAACATGAACCACCTAGTGACCGAAAATGTAGTCCTGTGTCTGCCACCTCAAAACACCCCAAAGACACCAGTTCAGTTCATTCATATATATAAGACCTATATATCTAACATATCACAATAGTAATGTTAATGTATTTTAAATTACTAATGCAGTCATCAGCAGATTTTTTGGGAACAAAATAGACATCCCTAGTTTAATTGCCAATGCAATGCTGAATGTAGAGGAAATGTGATGACAGAACATGACACACTACATCTGGTGTCCCTACTAGACCACTTTTAGAAAGAATATCCAGATCAATCAGTAAACAAATTATATATGTCAACTGTAATACCTTTTGGGACAACTTTTTAGGTGCTGGGTTAGCTGATCTTTTGATATGTCCTGCATGGGCCTCAACGATACTTTTACTGCTTGGTTTAACAGGCACTTTTGGTTTAGGTGGGTCATAGATTTTAGGTTGTGGAGCTATTGTCCCTGAAAGCTTTTCACGAAGATCCCGCACACTAGGAACAGAACTCTTTCCAGTTTGAGCTCCAGGGTGAAGACCTTTCTTCTGAAGCTTCAAACGAAGATCTTGAGCAGTGACCTTGCGATCTTCACAAGTCATTAACACACAATCAAAACCCATAAAATGAACTATCGGCATCCAACAAGAGCAGCAACTTATACTTGCATATGAGAATAACATAATCAATCCATACTAGAGAGCCGGGGTTCATTGTCTTCATAGAGATCATGTTCCCACTTGTCATCTTGCCTCTGCCTACAAAAAGCATGACTTGGAATACATCATCAAGCCTTTTTTTCAATAAACATTTATATTTCCAAGTTGAACTTGCAACATAGGAGATCCAAAGTTCTAAGTACACAAGTAGAACATAAAAAATACAACTGAAACAGAAATAACTCAACAAATGAATGAGCATTAAACCAACAAATTTGTTCTTATGATCAAGGTTGCCAAATGCATATTGTGGGGCTAAGCTGGGCTCAGTATGATCACAGGAACCCACAGATTCTACATGCTGAGACACAATCCCAGGACAACCCATGTAGAAAAAAGTTTGTTCAGGGATCAGAATTGCTCCAACCGTCCCAACTCATAATAAGGTACAATTCAACAAGTAGGATTGCAAATTTGACAACCATGCTCATCACCGTGTGCACTGAGAAAAATCTAACAATTAGAACCCCCGCCCCCCTCCATCCACTATAGTAAATATTAATTAATATAGAGTTGTAGGACAGGTACAAAACATCTACACAGACCATCACCGAAACCCCACATACAAAGTATACAAATGACACAATTGTAAAAAGCTCAAAAGAAAATTCCAATAAAATATCCTTGCACTGGTTAAATAGTGAAAGTCTCAAAGCCACTCAGACAATGTCAGCTGAATAATACTCTGATTGAATCATTGAAATCTGTCCTCAATACCAGCCTCTTCATCGTCATAAGGCAAGGACCAGAGGTCTTGGCAACATCGAACATCATGATTATCCTAATACATGAAGCCTTATCGCCCCAATTCCTTCCTAACACTAACAGAAATATTCAAAAATATAAACTGAACCCCACACAATGACCTTAGGAACATCAAGAGATCACTAGCAATAAAACCTAGTCCACCCTGTCTGAATAATCAAAAAATGTGAACAACACCAAATTCACCAATATTAAGCATAGCCACAACCAAAAATTCAGCTTGTTTTTTTTATGCAGTTGAAAATGTTTCAAATCAAGCAAAAATGCCGACATGCAGCGACGACAACACCACAACCATCAACAACAACAATAATAATAACACCACCAACAACAACAAAAGAACCTCTTTCCAGTGATTTTGCGTTGGCGAGTACAATCAGTGAAAAGAATCCCATTAAGGCGTTCCTTCACTGACTTCCTACTTCCACTCTCCACCCGATCAGAATACATCCTTTGTTTTAGTTCGAAATGAAACCGAAACCAAAATCAAAACCTAAATATAAACACTTATTTGATTGCTGAGAAGAGGAGATTGGGGGTGCAGGAACCCAAATTGGAAAAATGGTCGCAGAGAATCAAAACCCTAACCCTCTTTGTTCCAATTGAGTTTCGTGTTTGACGGAAAGAAAATCAGTGGAAACGTTTTCTGGGAGATTTCAAATTCCGACGAAAAGAAAACAAAAACGAAAGGAGAAAGAGAGGAATTATCAGGTCTCCGTGTAGTCCAAGTCAGAAGAGTGTTCGCTGATGGTTTGTTTTGTACAGAGGAAAGAAAATAAAAGAATAAACTTAATTTTACTTCCGGTACCTTTTTTTAACATATTTGAGATTTTAATTTTTTTAATTAATTATATTTAATTTCTCTAAATTTTTCTATGTTTAAATTAAGTACTATAAATTTTTATTTAAAAATTTTTATATTTTTCTTTCCTCGTTTATATAAATTAATAAAAATATCATATTTTGATATATTTTTATTAATTATTAAATAAAAATTTAAAATAGAAAACATAATTTAAAATTTTAAAAATTAGAGAAATTAAATATAAATAACTGAAATTAATAAAACTAAAATTACATGTATGTTAAAATATAAAAATTAAAAGTATAATTAAACTAAAAATAACACTATGGATGATGATAATTTTTTTATTTATTCAAAAAAATATTCTAAATTTTAAATTTTTTTCTCACTTCTTATTTTTTTACGAAAAAATAAACTATTATATGTTTCAATATGTTAACATTGTCGGAGTTGAAATTTGGAACATAAAATATAAAGTTTAATTCCTACTGTATATTAGAATAACAACAATAATAATAATAATAGTTAAAATTTTAATAATTTCATAATTTCTCAAAAAAAATTATAATTTCAAATAATAAATTTAAATAATATTATATTTATGTTTTATATTTTAAAATATTATTTTTTATATTAAAAAAGTATATATATGAAATTTATTATTTTCTAAATTTTAATGGTGACTAAATATTTAAATATAAATGAAAATATATAACATGTTGAAGAATGTAGGTAAATAAGATAATGCCAAAAACTTCAAGGAAAAGAGATGTAAATGCCTTTCTAAAATTGTTTGAAAACTAGCTATATAAAATGATTAAAAAAATAAAATAAAAAAAATCTTCTTTACAACATCTTTTAAAAGTTAGTTTCATTCAAGTAAAATACGTTTAACTGTATTTTTAATCTTCCAAATTTCAATTACATAATTTTAGAATCCTTACTTTTTCAAATTAAATTTTGTCTTTTTATTAAATTGTCATATAATTTTAATAGTTGACTTTCAATCTTCTTCTTCAAAGGAGAAGCACTTAGATCCACATGTGAAAACTTTGTAGTCAAGGCTCTACCACTATCGACAAAGCCTCCAAAGGACAAGTTACCCAGACCAACAGGTGAAAGCTACTTTTTGGGCATTGATGCTTTCTCTATATATAAGATTCATGCCTTTCTACGACTATTCCACTGTGCCTTTCTACTTCAACACCATCATGGTCAGATCCTTTGCGACAATGGAGAAAGGTGTTAGATTATTTTAATAATCTTATTACAGTGGCCTATGTAACTTATAACATAACTCTAATTAATGATTTAATGTGATGGTGGTTAAATATAAAATATAAAGTCATTGAGGGGATAATTATAAGTACAATTATAAGAAAACTCTTCCCTCTCCCTTCATATAAATTAAAGAGCGGTTACCAAATAGGTTACGACATTCTCTATTCTCACTTTCACGGTCTTTGAGTGAGCTCATTGTAAACGCAAGAAAGGAATTTTCTCTCAACCATCCGAGAGGAGCTAAAAGAAGAAGGAAGAGTTGGGGAAAATACCAAGGGATCAACGACATCAAAGAGAGAGGTAACATCTAGAAACAATGGATTCAGGTTAGTGCTCTCTAAACCCTTAATTGTATGAGAACTATGTATTGTGTTGTGAGAACAACGTAATTCAAGATCTATTGGGAAATGATAATTTCATAATAGTCATTGCATAATAGAAATTACATAATGGATTAAAGAAAATTCTAACAATTGGTATCAGAGCTAGGTTGTGAATTTTTTTGATTCTCCATAAGAGATTGGTTCTCCATTAAAGTTTTTCCCAAATTACATGAACCCTAGGTATTTTATATGATGACTTAGCATTATTTTGATGTTGAATAATTGTTTTGGATTCAATAATTGAAAACCCTAAAGTTTTGAAAGCTAGAAACATTGGATTTTGAATCTGTAATATGAGCAGGGCCATGTATCAGTGAGTAGGGCCATGTATTAATGAGCAGGGCCATATATCAGTGAGCAGGGTCATGCATTAGGAAGCAGGGTCACGCATCAGGAACAAGCACGACCATGCTTCAACGAATCATGGCCTTGCATATTGTAAGCACGACCATGTATCAATTATAAGCACGGCCATGCATCAAGAAGCACGGCCATGCTTCAGGAAGCAGAGGCATGCATCAAAAATAAGCATGGCCTTGCTTCATCGAAGCACGTCCATGCATTAAGTAAAAGCACGGCCGTGCATAGGAATTTTACGGCAGAATAAGAAATATAATTCATAAAAGATATAGATAATTTTAGAATTACATCAAAGTGAATTTTACTCACCAAAGTGATTAATTCTCAAGTTAATTAATTCTAAATTACATTATCATAATGAGAACTTCACAATTTAGTACTTAATTTTAAGGGTAGCTTGTTAGTCACCAAAGTGACCTAGTTTTAAAAGTTCTTTAAGCATTTAATTGTGTGTTATAAATTGTTCAAAATTGTTTGATGTTATATGGAAACAAAGAGTGAACAATTTAGCTCATTAATTATAACGCTAGGAGATCGCCCAAAGGTGGATCATTGCATATGATTAATGACATTAAGGAGACATGTAAGCACTTTATAATATATTTGTATATCCAAAGATGACTTGCATATTGGTTTGAGTGACTGGTTGTCAATTAAAGTTGTTTATTAGCATCATTATAGATAAATTGTGTATTTAGGCGTTACCCAAAGGTAAACTTAGATGCATAATTGATGACAGTTGACTTTCTGAATCCATTAAGTTTATTCAAAGCATAAATGTTTAAGCATGTGTTAAAAATATTTCAGTGTCTATGAATGCGTATGGCATGAGCAATGGCGTAGTCAAGTTCAATGGGCTTAATTATGATGATTGGGCTGAACAAGTTCGATTCCAGCTAGGTGTTATGGACTTAGACCTAGCAATCATTATAGAACAAGAGCCTGCAGCCATCACAAATACCAGTACTGAAGAGGAAAGAACTCTTCGTGAGGCTTGGGAAAGGTCGAATAGGCTGAGTTTGAGCTTGTTGAAGATGACTATAGCTGAAAATGTGAAACCATCAATGTCAAAGACTGAAAATGCTAAGGAATTTATGGCAAAGGTAAAAGAGTATGCACAATCGGACATTACTGACAAGTCCATTACAGGCACCCTATTGACTGAGCTAACTACTAAGAAGTTTGATTGGTCACGGCCCATTCATGACCATGTGACTGACATGATCAATCAAGCGACAAAGTTGAAATCAATTGGCATGGAGGTAAATGAATTCTTTCTAGTACAGTTCATTTTAAACTCACTCCCTCCTGAGTTTGGTCAGTTCCAAGTGAATTACAACATCATTAAGGATAAATGGAACATACAGGAAATTAAGGTCATGCTGGTTCATCAGGAAGGGAGGCTGAAGAAGGTGAAAGAACACTTCGTCCATCTTACATTTCATAAAGGGACTAGTAGTAGCAAGGCTAAGCCAGGTAAGAAGGACAACAAAGACAAGAAGGATAAGGCCTTATTAAAAGTTTGTGAAGGCCGAATCCAGAAGGGCTAAAGGTGCTTCTTCTGCAAGAAGACTGGTCACTTCAAGAAAGATTGTCCAAAGAGAAAGGTTTGGTTCGAAAGGAAATGTATATATTATGTTTCAGTATGCTTTGAATCAAATCTTATTAAGGTACCTAAAAATATCTGGTGGTTAGATTCTGGTGCAACTACTCATGTGTCACATGTAATGCAGAAATTTCTTTCGATCCAGCCCATAAGCAAAACTGAAAAGTTCTTGTACATGGGAAACAGAATGAAGGCACGGATAGAAGGAATAGGGACTTACAGATTGATCTTGCATACTAGTTGCTGCATAGATCTAGAAAAGTGTCTTTATGTTCCTGAATGTGCTAAAAATTTAGTTTCTGTTGCAAAGTTAGACAAATTTGGTTTAAATTTTAAGATTGGAAACAATACATTTTCTTTGTATAAACACTCATACTATTTTAGATCTGGTACATTAATTGATGGTTTATATCGTTTCAATCTTAATGTTAAATTTGCTGAATCTCTGTTTCATGTTGAGAATGCTATTAGTAGTAATTTGAATGTTCGTAATGAATGCTCTGCTTTCTTGTGGCATCAAAGGTTAGGTCACATATCCAAAGAAAGGATGATGAGGTTAATGAAAAGTGAAATTTTACCTCAATTAGATTTTGTTGACTGAGATGTATGTGTGGATTATATTAAAGGGAAACAAACTAAACACACATAAAAAAATCCAGCCACAAGAAGTAGTCAACTCTTAGAGTTGATACACATTGATATTTGTGGTCCGTTTGACATCCCATCTTGGGGTGGTGAAAGATATTTCATTACCTTCATTGATGACTACTCACGTTATTGTTATTTATATGTGTTGCATAAAAAATCTCAATTAGTGGATGTCTTACAGGTGTTTATTGATGAGGTGGAAAGGCAACTGGATAGAAAGATAAAGGTTGTGAGGTCAGATAGAGGTGGTGAATATTATGAAAAATTTGATGAAAGTGGACAATGTCCAGGTCCATTTGTGACACTTCTGGAAAGTCGAGGCATATGTTCACAGTATACTATGCCTGGTACACCACAACAAAATGGTGTGGCTGAAAGGCGAAATCGTACTATCATGGAAATGGTTAGAAGTATGTTGAGTTATAGTTTTGTACCTATGTCTTTGTGGATGTACGCATTAAAGACCGTTGCGTATCTGCTTAATAGAGTTCCTAGTAAGGCAGTTCTACAGACTCCTTATGAACTGTGGACAGGAAAGAAACCCAGTTTAAGACATCTTCATGTCTGGGGTTGTCCAGCAGAAGTAAGAGTGTATAATCCACATGAAAAGAAGCTTGATGCTAGAACCATAAGTGGTTATTTCATCGGCTATCCTGAAAATTAAAGGGGTACAGATTC